GGGTTATAATGGAGAGCTTTGGGGGTCAAACCCCCCGCGCCGGTCCATGACTACCCTCCCATATTTCGCATACTTTTAAAATTGCAAAGGTAACTTGTCTATGCCAAAACTTAATTATATAAAACCCCCACCTTCGCTTTCCTCCTTCTTTCCTTCTCCCCTCCCCCTCCCCCACTTCTTCCCCTTTTCCCCCTTTTTTCCCTTTTCCCCTCCCCCCCCTGCACTCCCCCCCAACACCCATACTCACAGGGGGGGAACCTAAAACCCCTCAGGTTGCTGATAATCACCATCACAGCCCCCCTCCAAGGGGAAAGGGGGAGTGGAGGGGAGGGCGAACTTGGCCCCTGTGGGGAAAAAGGAGGGGAAAGGAAAAAAGGGGGGGGAGGGGAGTAGAGGGGAAAACCCGGGGGAAAGGGGAAGATGAGGAGGGGCGAGGGAAAAGAAGAGACGAAGGAATGGAGGGAAGGGAAGGGGAGGGGGGGAAAAAAAAGGGGTAACCTTGCCCCATGAAAATGGGAAAAAAAAAAGAAGAAGAAGAAGGGGAAAGAAGAAGAAGAAAAAAGAAAAGAAGAATAAAAGAAAGAAAAGAAGAAGAAGAAGAAAAGAAGAAGAAAAGAAGAAAAAAGAAGAAAAGAACAATAAGAAGAAAGAAAAAAAAGAAGAAGAAAGAAAGGAGAAGAAGAAGAAGAAGAAGAAGAAGAAGAAAAGAAGAAGAAGAAAGAAAAAGAAAAGAAAAAGAAAAAAAAAGAAAAGGGAAAAAAAAAAGAAGAAGAAGAAAGAAAAAAGGGAAAAACAAGAAAAGAAGAACAAAAACAAGAAAAGAAGAAGAAAAAAAGAACAGAAAAGAAAAAGAAGAAGAGATAGAAAGGAAAATGATGAAAGGGGGAAAAAGGGGGAAAAAAAGAAGAAAAACAAATTTGGAAGAAGACGGATATAAAAAAATAATAATACCTTACCACAAAGTCTGTCAGTTAGCAAAAATCAATGGCCAGTCATTAACCCCTCAATGGGCAACCCGCCCATGGTTTCCCCTTTAAAAAAGCGATCAATACTCGTGAAAGGGATCAGCCAATCACCCCGAATCAACCAATCATAAGCAACCCGAACAATCGTCGGAGTCTCAGTTTTTCAGTAGGCAAGAAGACTGGGGGTTGTCCATCATCAACCTTATATGGAATCAAAACCCTCACGGACTCAAGACCTATTTTTTTGGAAAGCTTCACAAGAAGTAATTTTTTTTACCAAAATGTCCCAAACAGACTTTTTAGCCCCTGGAAAAACTTCCGTTTGGACTGCCTAAGATCTAAGTCCCATCTTCGCAAAATCCAGTTACTCCGGAGGCAGCCCCATAAACGACGGAAAAAATAATATAAAAATATATATTTATATATTTATATATAAATTTTTTATATAAAATTTAATTTTATATATTATTTAATTTTTTTATATAATTTTTAAATTTTAATTTTTATATATTTGTCGTGCGAAGGCAGAAAATTGCGATCTTGGTTAAATACAAAGCTCTCGCCTATGGACAAGTGAAAATTTGTGTATGCAATAATTTCGCCAAAAACTTCTGAACAACGAAAAAAATAATTTCGCTTTTTTTGTTTAGATTAAAAATTTTTTTTTAAAAAAATCTAAAAAAATATTTTTTGGGTTAGGGTAAAAAAAATTGCGCTTTTATAATGAGGTTAGGTAAGTTTTCTAAGTTCCTTTTGGTGAAAATTTTAAATTTTTGCATCCCTTAAGAAAAAAAAATACTTTAAGATAAGAGAAAAAATTTTTGAGACATTAATTTTAAAAAATTCTTGCTAATTGCCAGTTTTTACTATTCGGCACGCATATTATAATTAATTATTATTTTATATATATATATTTATATATATATATATTCGTGGTATTAAACCCAATGGCCAGTTTTTCCCATTTTGGAAGGGTTCAAATTTTCCGAAAAGTCGAATAAAATTTATTTTTGCTATAAATCAACGGAAATCGCTCTGGGAAATTTCGACAAAATATATATAAAATTGTTTTTTAAAAAATGATAAATAAATTTAAATTAAACAGAATTCAGCTTTAAAAAAATTTCGTTTGTTTATAGGTCAGGTGATTTTTGTGTTAGTTTATTTGTAGTTTTGTTTTTTTATGTCAGTTTTTGGGGGGTTTAATAAATTTTTTTTATTACCCGAGAGAGAGGGGAAAGGGGTGGGAGAGAGGGGGGAGGGGGAGAGAGGGGGAGAGAGAGAAGAGAGAGAGAGAGGGGGGAAGAAGAGGGGGAGAGGAAGAGAGGAGAGAGAAGAGAGAGGGGAAAAAGGGAAGAGAGAGAGAGAGAGGGAGAGAGAAAAGAGAGAAAGGAAAAGAAAAAAAGGGACAAGACAAAGACGGTAAGGTCGGTCCAGAGAGTGCGGGTAATCCACACTAAAAAAATTTGTCCTTACCTTTTGGAACCCTTTGGGGAAACCCTTTTTCTTCTGTTTTAAAAATTTTGTTTCCCCACAAGCTTTATAAACTTGTTTTATTGTTGTTTGACTGTTTTGCCTCCTTTTTTTTGTTTATTGAATTGCTTTTTGATTTATTTTCCCAAAAGGGGCTTGTTTTTTTTTTTTTTGCTTGTTGTTTTGTTGGTTTAGTTCCCCCTGTTTTTGAGATGTTTTTTTTTTTCTTGATTTTGTTGGGCTGGTATTTTTGTTTTTTTTAATTTTTGTTAAATTTTTGTGGTTTTGATTATTGTTTGGTTTAGATTGTTGTGGTTTTGATTGTTTTTGATTTTTGATTGTGTGGTTTTGATTGTTTTGATTTAAAGTTTTTGGTTTTGATTGTTTTTGTTTAGATTTTTGGGTTTTTATTGTTTTTGATTTGATTGTTTTTGGTTTTGATTGTTGTTGATTTAGATTGTTGTGGTTTTGATTGTTGTTGATTTAGATTGTTGTGGTTTTGATTGTTGTTGATTTAGATTGTTGTGGTTTTGATTGTTGTTGATTTAGATTGTTGTGGTTTTGATTGTTGTTGATTTAGATTGTTGTGGTTTTGATTTTGTTGTTTAGATTTTGTGGTTTTTGATTGTTGTTGATTTTGATTGTTTTGGTTTTGTTGTTGTTGATTTGATTTTTGTGGTTTTTTTATTGTTGTTGATTTGATTTTTTGGTTTTGATTGTTTTTGGGTTTTAATTGTTGTGGTTTTGATTGTTGTTTATTTAGTTGTTGGGTTTTTATTTTTGTTGATTTAGTTGTTGTGGTTTTGATTGTTGTTTATTTAGATTGTTGGGTTTTTATTGTTTTTGATTTAGATTGTTTGGTTTGATGTTGTTGTTTTAGATTTTTGTGGGGTTTTATTGTTGTTGATTTTTATTTTTGTGTTTTGATTGTTTTTTTTATTTAGATTGTTTTGGTTTTGATTTTTGTTGATTTGATTTTGTGGTTTTTTTTGTTGTTGATTTTGATTTTTTGTGGTTTTTTTGTTGTTTTTTGATTGTTGTGGTTTTTTATTATTTTTGGTTAGATTGTTGTGGTTTTTATTGTTGTTGATTTAGATTGTTGTGGTTTTGATTGTTGTTGATTTTTAAAATCGGTTTATTTTTTGTGGCTTTAATTGTTTCATATTTAATGGTTTTATTTTCTTCCTCTTGCCCAAAAACTGCCCCGAGGTTGTTCCGGGGGGCGGACGCCCCCTGGTCCAATCAAGACCCCGGCCCCCCTATATTAAGGTCTGATCAAGGCTGTTAATGCCGGCTGATGCAATCCCCAAAGTAGAAGCCAATCCCGGTGATAGGTATAATTTAGGTTGTGTCTAGTTCCCTTTAAAGAAGTCGGGGGGCTATTGGTAACCCCCCCCCCCTTTTCTGTACAAAGGAGACTGTTTTAAAAGTTTTTGGGCCCCCCGGTTTTTCTTTCGTAAGGAGTGTTTTTTAGTGCAAATTTGGGCTCTGTTCCTTAGGTTTTCCAGGTGTAAAATTTTGATGTTTCTTTTTCGCCCGTGTTTTTAAGTTTTTACAGGTCAATTGTTCAAACGTTTTTCAGTATTTAAGGTGTTGATTCGTATACATTCTAAGGGGCTCTATAAATTTCCCAGATCTCCAGTTTGCCTACCCTTTAAAGGGGCTGTTAGTTTTCAAAGTATTCCAGCTAAAGAGGCAAGGGGTTTTTAAAGATTATTATTGACTTAGATCTCCCGTTTTTGAAGGTTCTCAACATCCTTTATCTTTTTCCCGTAGTTGTGTTAGTAACTTGCGGATCCTTAGAAGATAAGATCCTCTGACATCATCAATGCTAAAACCTTCACATTGGTTTTTCCTCTATTGTGTGTTGAATGGTTTTTTGCTCTTCTTTGTATTTTTCCCAAGTTTTCCCGAGGAATAATGAAATTAGTCCTATTGTAATTCAATTATTTTTGCGGCCCTTTGGGATTGGTTTTTTTTCCGCTTGGGATTTACAGTGTCCTCAGTGCATACTCTCCATGCAAATTTTAGTAATCTCAAAGGAAAAACACGTCCTATTTGGTTAACTCTCCATCTTTGTTAGGTAGGTAGGGGAAAAAGATGGGGAGCGAGTATGTACCTTTGGAACACAGTTTGTCATGTAGCCGTCTCTACTTAATCCTTTTATATTATTTTGTGTTCTGTTTGGGTTGAAAGTTTAAAAATCAGTTTGTTTTTGATTGTTACGATATTTTTTTAAATTACTAACAAAAATATTAAAATTACCACCACCTTTTAACCCCTCCCCACCCCCCACACCACACCACCCCCCCCCCCACCATACCACCCCTCCCACCAAACCCCCAACAACCTACCATACTTCCCCTTTCCTCCTACCAAACTTAACACTCCTCCTTTTTTCTTCCCCCAAGGGGGGGAACAAAGTAACTCACTCGTCTCTCCCACAGTACGACACAACGCAACACTTTTGTCTCTCCCACAGTAGGACACAACGTAACTCTCCTCCCTTGTCTCTCCCACAGTGCGACACAACGTAACTCTCCTCCCTTGTCTCTCCCACAGTGCGACACAGCCGTGGGAACCAAGTCATTCTTCGACATGATGTACAAGGAGCCCAGGAAAGTGATGCTCTTCGGCGCCGCCTGCACCCACGTCACCAGTCCCATCGCCAAGGCTGCCAAACACTGGAATATTGTACAG